CCCCAAAACCCCAAAACCCCAAAACCCCAGAGGAAAAGAGTGAGGTTGAAATAAAAATATGGGTTATTCAATTAATTCGTATGTGTTTAGAGATACAACATTGATGGATGTCAAGCCATGCTTATCTAATAACTTCTTAGCTTCCTGAATTTTGATATTACAAAAAGCAGCATTAAGAATTTGCAGAGAATCCTTCAAAGTAGAGTTCTTTATAGCAGTTAAAATATTTTCAAAATATTTGGGTTTTTTCATCCAATTCATATTAGTATGCCACTTTTGGCTCCCTCACCATTGCAGACTTAAGTATTCGGTCCTGTAAGTAGATTCATTTGAGAAATCTAAAGGTAGAGAAGTCGATATTTTACATCAACTAAAAACCAGCCTTGATCAGTTAGAAGAGAGTCTTACAATTCTGCTGAAATTTTCCTCATCAAGTATAAAGAACAGTAGGAATATTTCTTTGTAGACTTGGGGCAACAGGCACTTTAGCCCATCCAAGTAATAATTTATGTTCACAGGATTACCAATTCCAACACCAAAGAACAGAAGATTAAGTGAGGGAGGAGAGCAATAAGTAAGGAAATCATTTACACTTTCATCTTCATCTTTAAAATTAGATATCTTCAATCTTTCAAGAGGCTCAAATTGATACCTGAATGATGCTAATGTTTTGATTATAGCTTTCCCTTTGTCTTGATTTATCAATAGCTCTACTTTTGTACAACTTGGATCGAATCCTAAAACACCATTAATTTATTGCCCAAAAGATCGGTATTATCTCACAATAATAATTTCCAAATTTAGAACCCAACTTTTTCCAAAGTCCAACCCACCAAAAGACTCACACAGCACAAAAGAGCCAAAACTACCCATCTATACCTCTAAAGAAAATCCCAAAACACCAGACTACTCCAGCTAAAACATAGAACAAATATATGAGAATAAGCAGACCAATGATAGTAGCTTATATCTTCAGTCTCCTTCTTTCATGACCCTACCTTCTATATTTCTGATGGCTTCTAATTTTAGCTCTTCTAGTTCTGTAAGAAATTAGGCGGGGAAGATTACTTTCTTCTAATTGCTGAATATTTTGGAGGGCTTTATTTATGCTGGTTTTCAGAGGATGTAAATTTATGGGTTATTGATGCAAGGTCGGTTTTAGAGATGAGAAATTCTTCTCTTAGCTTAGCAGTCTCTAGCTCAAGGTCCTGGTACTTGGAGACTTGAGCTTGGAGCTCAAGAGATAGCTCCTGGTTCTGGAGTGTGAGGGCTTTGATAGTTTCAGTGTATTCGGAGATTTCGAGGGTTTGGGTTTCAGTCAGGGTTTTTAGGGTAGAGATTTGGGTGTGGAATTCTTCGAGAATTTGGGTTTTGCAGTGTTGTTTGTAAGCAGCCATTTCGTTATTTGTGTCTTTGGGTTAGGAATTTAGTGTGCTTTTGGAGAATTGAGTCGATTTTAGTTTGGATTTTTGAATTTGATGAATACTCTAAGAGTGGTTTAGAAAAATTACCATTTTCTACAGTTGCAAAGGGATTGAGAGATGCTTCTTTGCTTATGGATAAGAATAAAACTTCTTTAATATCTGGATTGTCTGCTATTTCGCTCTGTATTCTAAATTTAAAGTTATTATGAATTAATTAACTACAAGTATTTACAATTAAAAACCCAATAAGCATACTCTCTGAGCTGTCCTTCAAGATACGAATAGTCTTCCGGGCTCCAATTATCAACAACCTCAGTAACTTTCTTGGAAAGCCCATACAAGATATCCTTAAAAATTGACCAAAGTATTTTCGATCTTTGGAATATACATTGATCATCCATTTGCTATAGATAATTCTTCTATCATCATAATTAACCTCTCTGCTTCCTTAATACTATCTTTAATTTCATCAATTTCTCTTAGCACAGCTATTTGTCACCTGAAATGTATCTATGAACAACAATTGTCTTAACAATCTTACTCTGCCATTACATTCTTTACAACTGAACATCTGATGCGAGTAACAATAATAACTACTCACTTCTCTACACCCCAAATCCGATCACTTCGGCCTAAACCAGAATTCACCCCTTAAACTTATGCACAACATTAGAACAAAACAACTATATATGAAGGAATTGAGCGAAGGAAGGAATGAAGAAAGTACTGACTTTTTAAAACAAGTTGACATTTTATTATTTTTATTATTATATTATTTTATGGGAGATTGGGGGTTTTGGGGTTTTGGGGTTTTGGGG